CCCTTGTCCCTGAAGCCTGGATCCCCCTCCTGGCACTTCCTCCCATATGTCCATGTGGCATCTTGTCATCCACCCAGGGCTGTGTGGCTCAGTCCTGTAGCTCTGAAACAGCAGTTCCCTGAACCACCTGTTAGCACCCTGGATCCATGGCTGGCTGAGGCAGGTCAGTAAAATCCCGGCATCCTGTCCTCTACATGCCCAGTTATAGGGCCAGGTCCCCTCATCCTCCCCAGGAGGGTTTGCTGTCTGGCTTGGGTAGCCCCTCTAAATCCAGTTGATGGCCCCACAGCATCCTCAAACACCTGGGTATTTCTCCCTGAGCAGGTGGGGTAGGCAGATGAGGAAGGAAAATGGGGCTTTCTGCAGCCTCCAGTTCTGGGGTCCCCACCCTTGCAGACCCCTGGGAAGCTTCTTTCCCTGCCTGTCCAGGGCAGGCTGGGTTGATGGACTTGGGGGGAAAGAGATGAAGATGCCTCAACAGGTTTTTGGTCACAGGTGCCCCTGTTCAGCCAAGTCATGGCTGCTGGTCACAACACACCACCCTACAGGGCATCTGCCAGGGGAAGTGCCAAGGCAGCAGCCCTTCCCTTGTCCCAGTGAGTTTTCCCTGAGAGAGGAGATGTCTCCTTGGGATCATGCTATTGCACTATTGGGACACAACCTACACCCACCAAAAATCAAAAAACAAAACAAAAAAACTAGGGTCTGGATGTGACAGAGGCTACCTGAGCCCACTTGGCAGGCCCCAGAACCTTATAGGATCCTCCAGGACTCCTCAGGCTCCCATGATTTAGCTGAGCCTTTCAATGTGCAGTGGGGTTAGGCCAAAGGCACTGTTACCACATTCCCCCTGAGGCCAGCAAGGGGCAGTCTTGTACATGCCCAGAATATCCACACCTTGGGGCTAAGTTCCAGGGCAGGTGGGGTGGCCTTTGGATCTTGGTCAGAACCACTGTACAGGGTTGGGTGGGGCTGCAGGCCCTGATCAGGTGAGTAGAGCAGCAAGAACCTCAGTGCAGGGGACATTCCTCAGTGCACTGAACTCAGATGACATCAGGGGCCCGGGAGCCTTGTTCTAGAGGCAGTTCTTATCCATCACTGGCAAAAGGGTCTTAGGTCTGCTGCTGTCGTAGTCACCAACATAATACAGACAAGGAAACAATTTCTGCATCAGGCCCCAAAGGCTGCACAGCACTAAAACTCAGCTGGCCACATCTTCCCTGTTCATGATTCCTGAGCTTCAACTGCTGGTGAGCAAAGAAAAGGTCTTACTGGCTGAGGTAGGAGTCCAATGGGCCCAGTGTGCGGTCTTGGCAACAAATTCTGAGGAAAGTCCATTCAGCTATTGAGGAAGCTCCCTTGGATACCTCAATAACAGCTTTCCAGTGCTCCCAAAGTGTTGCTACCTTTATGAAGGTCCCACATCACAGGCTCCTGGGAGAAAAATGTATCCCAGCTCTTGATTTCCCATCTTCCTAAAGCTGCAGTATGTCAGGGTCACACTTAGAGGTCATACTGTGGGATCCTAAAAAGCAGCCATACAAGTGGCTCGTGGCAATTGAATGGCCACACAGTGCAGGTGATGCAGAAGATGAAGCTTCAGGCTTTGGGGAGCACATATGACAGTCACTTCCAAGCCACACTGCTTCCTAAAATTGGCTGACCTTTGGAGGAAGCCAGCAGGGCTCTGTTGCAAGAGTGTCTGACTAGTGAATCTTTCTGAGAGTTTTCAGTAAAAACTAGGCAAGAATAAAACTTAAAGTCACTGCAGGGTGTATATGATCCTGATTCTGTCATCTGGCTGGCTGTATAGACCATGTGGGATCCAGATGCCTCTGTGGCTTGGCCTGACTGGCCAAGGGGGTGGTTGGCTATAGGGATCAGTAGCAGGCCCTGGTACCACCCACCCCCCACCCGAGAGCCAGGCCAGCTAATGTACCTGCCTACCTGAGATGGTGAGAGCTGTGGCCAGGGCTGCTGGAGGACCCAAGGTCATCAAGCCCCTACTTCTGCTGCATGGTGTCTGGCTTAGGGCTATAAATTCATGTCATTTCCTATTAAAATATGTGAAGCTTTTAAGCAAATGTAGCATACTCAACTTGTTTTAATAAGAAGTGCTTTAAATTCTACCTCATACACCCATGGCTTTCATTTTTAAAAGTGTGAAAGAATTTCACATCATCTGGCCGAGTACATGACTTTGGCTGTATCAGCTGGTGTGTGGTGTAAAAATGCCTGTGAAGGTTTCCTTGGCAGATTTGTAGGTCTGTGCGGCTAGATGTGTGAAGCCCTCAGCAGACTCAGATGAGTCCATCTATGATTAAAGTTTGAAATACCTAGGGAATTTAACCAGGTTTTTCATGTTTGTGAAATGTCTAAAAAGCTTAGAGATTCAATACATCAAAAGCATAAGCTAATGGAAGATTAAAAATAGGTGAAAGTGTATTTTCACATTAACACAAAAAATAATGGATTTATAAATAAGATTTTAAATTGAGCTTTCAAGATTGAGAAAAGCTGGTTTAAAGGTTATGATTATAAAACATATTTTTAACCCCACAATACTACTTCTAGGAATTTACCCTGAAGATAAATCTCCAATAAAAAATAGACATGTATAAATTAGTTGTGGTCAAATTACTTGCACACTGTGGTCATCCACTCATGGGGTTCTTTGCAGCCATGAAAAGAAGGAAGAAAAGTCTCTGATGGCCAGCATTTTTTTTAAAGACAGAATTTTATTAAGTCTGTATTGGATGGAGATTGCCTAGGCTAGACTTCACCTTGCAATCTTCCTGCCACAGCCTCCTATGCTGCTTGAATTATGTGCCATCATGCCCAGCTAGCATATGTCCCCCTACTCCAGCCCATTGGAACACTTGTATTTTAGGGCATGACATGCTGTCTGATTCTGGAATCACAATGAAACCAATTAAGATTTTTAGTTAAATGTGTTATGATTTTGTCTTTTGACATAAGTAAAGTGCCTTCCTGTGTTCTGTCGTTTGTTCTAGAGAATAGCAAGCCTAATGAGAGGTCTAGGAGGACCTGACTTTGTTGGACAGAAGTACAAGAGGCTGGGGTTCTGGGTTTGAGTCCAGCAAGAAGGGAGGTCTTGAGGAGCTGAGCCATTGACTGTGGATCTGGACGGCTGCCAGTGGTCAGTGTCAGAAAAGGAGAAGTGCAGGACTCCAGCTGGTGCTGGAGAATTGGCTGTTGTTGAAAAAAGCTCTTCGGTGAAAACATAAGGAGGAGGAAAAATAAGTAAATGTGCATCAGCTTATTTTTGCAAAAAGCCAAGTAAAGCTAAACTAGAAACTAGTAAGACTGATTTTCTTTAGTGGGTGGGGATGGGGTGGGAGGGGATGTCTTACCTGAGAAATCTTTTTCTATAGTTTCATCTTTTGGAATCATGTCAAAATACAGAATAAAAATCAACAATATAGGCAGGAGACTAAAGTGGAGTGCAAACAGTAATAAACCTCTAATTACATGTCAAATGACTAATATGACCGCACTAATGTGGAAGAAAGAACACAAATGACCTTTGAGCTTGTACTTAGACTGTGTGCCCTAAGATTACACATTAAAAACAAACAAACACAACGAAACAACAACAACGAAAAACCTCTAAGCAAATACCTAAGTCCAGTGTGCTGGCTTGTCTTTTTTTTTTTTTTTTAGATTGTGATTTGGGTTACTAATGCCAATGTATTCTGGGTTTGAGCAAATAAATATAGGAAGGATCACAGCAACTGGCTCCTCCCTGTTGGAGAAGGGAGTTCTAACTATGGGAAGAATGGAACAAATCCTGAGTTTCTGTATTGGATGGGAAGTGTCACTGATCACGTGGAGATTTTACATATGTCTGCCTGTGTGTGCACACAGAAATGAGGAGACACAGGGCGTGTGTGCACCTGTGCACGTGTGCATGCACATTTCCCGAACTATACCCACTGAGTGCCTAGAAGGAAAGGGCACACCCAGAACCCAGGTACTGGATGTTTCCCAACACCATGAAGATGGTCCTGGGCTTCCATCCAGGTCTTCCAGTTGCACCTGGAACAGAGGGAGTCCTCTGGGGATTTGGAGCAGGTGTGGGGCCCTAGCCCTTGAAGCTCAGCACCCCTCAAACTCCAGACAGTAACACTGGCACCTCCTGCTCAGAGCTGCTTCCTCAGGCCCCTGAGCAACCCAGGATCTGTCATGGTCCTAACTCCCCATGATGGAGCTTACCTCCCACTAGGCAGGTGTGTAGACACAGGAAGGAAAGGATCAGCGAACAGGGGTTGTGGTGGTACAGTAGGGGAGGGGCATGGGCTCAGCACATCCAGGCTGGGGACAGAACTGGGGTCACCCAGAGCTGGAAGCTGGATGATATGGTGCCACAGTTGGGGTAAGGTGTTCTGGCAGCTCCCCTTAGAGCTGATGTAGATGGTCCACCCCTTGTCTAGCTCCAGAAACCCAGACCTTGGTTCTGGGAAGGGTGGGGAGTGAGGTGGGGCCCTTCCAGCTTGCAGGGAGTGCTAGCTAGCAGCCCCAAGTCTCCATTCCCCTCTTAGGCACAGCATTCACTAATTTCTTCATTAGGGCATTCACGCCTGTGCGTGACTTGTCTGGAGGCAGGAACTGAGAGTGGGTGCTGTTCAGAACCAGGACCCCACAGTAGGAGCCTGATGTTCTTGTGGAATGGGAGAGCCATGGGAACGAAGCTCACCACCAGGCAGATGGTGGGGGATACAGCAAAATGTAGCGCCGGCTAGTAGTCGGGGACAAGCCAGGACCCTGGGGTTCCCTTGGGTGGATGTGAGCTCCTTTTACTGTGGCCGCCAGGGAACTGGACCACAGGTCCAGGTGCACAGGAATCCGGGTACCTCCTTGTCCACACAGATCCCCGTTCCCATGCTCCAGGGTCCAGATCCTTCAAGGATCCCCCTGGGCCTGATTGTAGGCAGAAAAACAGGCCAGCCAAAGAGGATGAGGACGCGCAGGAGAAATGAACATCCAGGTAGACTTGAGTTTTTACTTACAGAAAAGCGACAAAGCTAGAAACCCACCAGGAGCGGGGGCTTCAGTGAGTTGTCTGGGGGCAGGGGCACAAACACAAGGTAGGAGAGCATCAGGCGACTCGCTTGCTAGTCACAGAAGCTGGCAGGGGATGCTGCAAGACAGAGAGGTAGAGGCTGATTGTTGGCTGGGAAGGTCCTGACATCAAAGAATTGTCCCCTGCCATTCCATCCACTTCCCCTGGTCCTACCCACTCTTTCCTCCCCTGAGTCCTCCACCCCAACCCCACTAGGTCCCTGAGACCCAGGCCTGGGCACCACTCCTCCCCTCCCTTGACCCAGACTCATTCCACCCCTGAGGCCTCGAACCAGCCCCATGCCTGCGTCCCCTAGGTGCTCAGAGGTGGGGTGGCAGGCAGTGTCGAAGGACAAGCACCTGTGTAATGCTCTAGTCTCGAGGTCCTGGGTAGGAAATGGCAAGGAGAGGACCCCTGGCTCAGAAAAGATGGCAGGAGACCAGAGAGAGGCCTCAGTGCTGGGCACACCTACCCCGGGCCAGGCGGGCAAGGTGCGCTGCGGTCACTGAGGGGCCGTTGGTGGTGCGCTGGCCGTCGTTTTCTGCATCTCTTCCTTGTCACCCCTCGTGGAGGGCTTCTCCGGCTGCTCTGTGGCCACCACAGCAGGGGGCCCAGCCTGGGTGGGCCCCTTGTGCACTTCCTTGGCCGCACGGTAGCTGTCCCCCCAAGCTGCAGGCATCTCAGTGCCATGCTTGCGGCTCAGAGGGTAGGCCCCAATGGCCGCCAGGATGCTGCGGTGACGCTCCGGGTCCATCTCGGTGTAATACATCTCCAGGGTCAGCGGTGTGCAGATCTTGTGCTGTGGAAATGGGGTTGTGTCAGCAGCTGGCAGGGCCAAAGGGCAAGAGCAGAAGGGGCTTAATTTCCAGCTGATAAAGGCCAGGCCTGAGTACAGAACTAGAGGCTCCTTATGGAGCCAAAGGCCCAAGTGGTCCTTTGTGAAGGAGAGAGGCTACCAGTGAGAGCATGCCTGCTATCATCTGGGAAGATTGTATGGAGGTTGCAGGAGAATCAGGGTGGTCTCTACTGTCCCAGGACAGGGCCACCAGTCCCACTGCCTTACCCGAAGCAGGAAGCCATCGGGGCAGGCGAACTGGTCGTACCAGATGGCCTTGTACATGATGAGTACACAGCCCATGAGCGCCATGACGAAGGCAATCATTCTGGCTGTGGGCAGCTGAGGGAGGGAAAGGAGAGGAGCACAGTTGTTGGTGCCAGGCAGTCAAAGCCAGAAGTAGCTTCCTGGGTTTGGCACGGACCACAGTCCCCAAGTGTTGGTGGCTTCTTAGAGGTCAGCCCCAGGGCCAAGGGTCCAGAAACCATTCCACAGGATCCAAGCTTTGACGGGGCCCCTCTGCTGGGATTCAGAAAGCACCTGCTACCTGCTACTAGGAAAAGTGCACAGGTGCTTGTAGGGATTTGTCTTGCCCAGATGACACCTGCAAAGGATGGTGGCCAGCATGGTGTAGGGTCCTGGATGCTAAAAGCCATCTCAAGGGCTTCCAGTGAGGAGCATTCATTTGTATCAGCCTGGATGGACTCATGAGAAGTGCAGCAAGGCCTCAGTGTCTGTCTGGGGGCATTTCCATTGAAGAAACCAAGGGCTTACTGGCAAAGGGGTAGATACTACTTTTGAAAAGTGAAAAGCTTTGGAAAATAGTCCACTAAAATGAGTAAAGCCATTATTACTAAATTTAAGGTATTAAAAGATGAGAGTAGATATCTGAAAGCTATGCTACAGAGAAAGCAATACCTGCATTACTTAGCCTGCAAGTTCATAAAGAAAAGACAGTGATTCAATGGGGGAACAAGTACTTCCTAGGAAAAGAACAGCAAGATGGGCACTGAAGCTCAGAATTCTATAGATAACCAGGAGGATTGCTGGGCAGGGCAGGCAGCTGGAGATCACCAGAGCTAGAAGTGTGGTCTTGGAACGGGATGATCTCTGACCAGCTTTCCTTTCTGAGGAGACTCAAGGAGGACTCAACCTGGCTTGAGCCTGTGCTGCCCTGAACCTTCTCTCAGGGAAGGCTGTGAAGAGTTACCCTGCGCCCTTCCTCTGGGTGGTTGCAGTTTGGCTTCTGCCCCTCCAGGTCTGGAAACTTCTTTGACTGGTCCGGGGAGGACAGCTGGTATTCAGTCTGCGTCTTGATGACCACCTAAAGAAAGAGATGGCCATGTTCTCTTTGAACAGCTGGGAAGGATCCAGGAAAGCTCTGAACTGAGAGGGTGGGAGCCAGTGTCTGCTGCATGGTAGTGGTGTGGATGCTGACCATGTGTCAAGACTGTCTGAAGCAGAGCTCCAGTAGCTGCAAGCTAAAGCCAAAAGAGGTTGAGTAATGTGAATCTGCTGGGAGCCATGGTAGTCTGGGACTTAACCAGACCATTGATGGAAACTCTCACTCTGCCAGCTGCCTTCTACTCTGAGGTGTTGGCTTTCCCTGCTATGAAATTCTCTTTTGGTGGCTTCACAGCTTGACCCCCTTTTCCAGGAAGTCTGTTCCTACTTCTCTGCTGCTCTAAGAGTCTTGAGGGCCCTATCACAAGACGTATATATGGAGACAGGTCTAACTTCTGAGCTCTGTGGGCTCCCAAGGAGCAAAGGCTGAGCCTGCTCATAGTGTCCACTGCTGTGGTAGTTGTAGCAAGTCACCCAGCTTGTCAGAGGGCTGTCTTGGTCACCAGGAGGGGCAGGCCTGGCAGTGCCATGGGCATAGATCATTCCCCTCAGCTTCAGTTAGGACAACTCCTGGTGTCCTTCAAGTCCTTCAAGAGCTTCTGGGAGGGCAGGCTGGGCTAGGATTGAGTCAAACTCTTTGCTGTTCATGTATTTTTCCAGGAAGCCCACCCTCCATCAGTCACTTACCCAAGTCCTCCATTTCTAGCCTGTCCCAGAGAGCTATGCTCTGTGGGGGAAGGGTGGGAATTGTGGCTTCCTGATCCCCTCTGGTCTGCATTATGGGATGGGGGTGCAAACCTTCAGGTATACTGTGGCCAACTTCCTACATTTCAGATGTGAAAAGGAGCCCTGTATACAAAGGAGTTGACCAGGAAGTTAGCCTTGCTTTCAGCCCAGCCTGGCCTTTGCAACATTGTGCATTGGAGAAGGAACATGTGTATGAGCCTCACCCACATCCCCTGTTACCAGGCAAGGGGGAGAAAGTCCCCCATGCTTGCTAGGTTGCTCACCTGGTCAGGAAATGGTGGCTGCAACTGGCTGACATCCAGGGGGCTGATCAGAGGAACACTGTCTGCTGAAGCCCCATCTTGGTCCCCTGGGTCTTTGCCTGGCTTCCCAGAGAAGCTGCAGCCCAGCTTCACCATAGTGGATGGTGGTTCTCCTCCTGGTCCAGAAACAGGGACAGGGTCACTGCCCACCAGCCACCCTGTGGACATCCATGACAGCTGACTCTGGAGGGACAGAACTCTGGGATGGTCCCAGTGCCCATCATACCAGAGCCTGGAACAGACTATGGGTAGTCAGGCCAACTTCAGGGAAATGTTCCATGTCTGCTAAGGAATCAAGTCTGTCATTAAAACCTTCTCACAAAGAACTCCTAGCCCAGAGAATATCATTGCTGATCTTCCAGTCAATAAGTCAGTAAACAATACAAGTACCTTACAAATTTTTTCCAGAAAAGAGAACAAAGGAACACTTGCCAACTCCTGCGACCTATATAACCTTGACTTCGTAGCCTGGCAAGAATGCCAAAAAGAGAAAATTACAGACATTATAGCAAAGACCCCCCAAATGAAATTTGAGGAAGCCAAATCTAGTAAGATACAAAAAAAAAAAATTTCATGAGAAGTTAGTTGGGTGTATCTTTGACTTGAAAATTATTTTAACATTTGAAAAGCAATCAGGAATTTTGCTATGTTAAAGAAAAAAAAGGTTAAAGTTTTAAAATATTTTAAAATATTGTATATAAAACTAAGGAATCTTTTAAAATCACCAAATATAGCAACGGAACCGTTGTACAGGAAGATATTCTCAGAGTAACTACAGTGTGAGTTTTCCTTTCTCGAGTAAGACTCTGAAGAGCTATTTGGATAGTCTTTGGAGTAAAGCCCATGTTGTAAAGCAGTGGAAATTTTTGGAAAATGTCTGTATTACATATTGGATATTTTTAAAACTCACTTTAATTGTTGTAGGATTATGTCTTATACTTAATTTACACTTACATAGTATGAAAAAAGAAAGAATAATTTAAGCCATTAAATCTTTATCTAAAAGAAAAGGACCTTTGAAATATTCCAGTTAAATAGTATCAAAAATACCAAATGCTCCAGAGTAGGTGTAGCCAGAGATGGGAAGGATCTCTATATATAAAGCCATAAAATGTTTTTGACTGGGGCCACAGGAGAACTGAGTAGCTGAGTTCCCTGAGAAGTGGAGAAAGGTATGGTCATGGGTGATTGTAGGATTGGGAGATTTCCATGCTTGGTAGGCCCCCATATTTCTGTAGAATCAGTACATCCAATCAAAATCCCAACAGGTTTTTGTTTTTAATGAACTTGAGGAGTATTGAGATTTTATGTGGAGGGCAGAGACAGGCACATGCAGACATTTTGAGGAAGAGCAAGGGGAGGACTCTGCCAGGTGCCTGCTTTGCACAGAGCGGTGGAAGCCAAGTGGTGCTGATGCTCGGCAGACAGACCCATGTGACACACTATACACATGGACCCTGGTTTACATACAGACGCCACCACACACTTCCTGATAAACCAATATCTGCCTGGAAACAGTAAAGCCGATCCCTACCTCACACCACACACAGAAATCTGCTCTAAGTGCTTACACATGAAAAAAAATCAAAAACAACTAAGCGATTCAGAGATAATATAGAAGATTCTCCTGGTCTCAGGGAGGGAAAGCTTTCTTCAACAGGAAAAATAAAAAATAAAAGCATTACTCATAAAAGGAAATACTGATAAAATATCTACACTGAAACTAAGAACTTGTGTTTACTAAAACATAGCCTTTTCTGGGTGTGGTGTTACATGCCTGTAATCTTAGCACTCTGGGAGGTTAGGGTATGAGAAGTAAATGTTCAAGATCAGCCTGGGCAATTTAGCAACTTAGTGAGAATTTGTCTCAAAATGAAAAATAGAAGGGGCCAGAGATTTAGCTCAGTAGCACAATGCCTGCCTTGCAAATGTGAGGTTCTGAGTTTGATACCCGGCACCACAAAAAAATGTGTGTGGGGGGGACTGCGGATATAGCTTAATGTGAAGACCCTGGGTTTGATCTTCAGTGTCACTAACAAAACAAAACAAAACAAACAAACAAACAACAAAACCCCACAGTCTTTAGAGTGGAGACAGAAAACAAAACTGGAAGACATTTGCAACACAAAAGTGACAAAGGGTGTGCTGTGGGTTAAATTGTAGGTTGAATGATGTTCCCCACACCCCAAACAATAACAACAACAACAACAAACTAGATCCTACCTAACCCCTGGTACTAGTGAAAGTGACTTTATTTGGAAATGAATTCTCTGCAGTAATAGCCAAGTTAATACGTCATACTGATTAGGGAGGGTCCTAATCCAGTGACAGTGTCCTCATAAGATGTGGAGGCAAGGAGAATGCCTTGTGTGGGGCAAAGTGGAGATTGGAGTGATGCAGCTGCAGTCCAAGGAATGCCTAGGGCCACCAGAAGCTGGAAGGAGCAGGTAGAGGCGCTTCTTTTGGGGCTCTGCTCACACCGTGATGTTTAACTGCTTGGTTCCTTAATTGTCGAAGAATAAATTTATTTTGCTGTAAGCTACCTAGTTGTGGTCATTCGTGACACAGCCCTAACAAAGCCAAGTGCCCCCTGGATCTGCAGGGGACTACTGTTTGTCACCTGCATCGGCCAAGCCCTTCAGGTCTGTACATACCTGCAGAGCTGGCAATAGCGTTACTGTGCCCCACCCAGAGGCATAGAGATAGCTTAGCTCCCAGATGCTCAAGGGTGTGCAAAATGAGCTGGTGAGGGGAGTGAGGGCTGCGTGGGAGAGGAAGGCCAGCCAGGAGGCTCTGAAGAAGGAAAGAAGTAGCTCCTCCACCAGGCTCCTGAGCTCAGCTGGGGACCCTGGGAGGGAAGTGAGAGTCTTCCTTTGATGTGTGTTTTCCCAAAGTGACCCTGTGCCTGCGGTGCCTGACCCTGTCATTCCAGAAGGGTTCAGGTGGCACCCCCCACGCAGCGCAGCTGGGAGACTCTTCCACAGGTGGGCTGGAGCCTGGGGAAGGCACTGGTTCTTTGCCTCTGCGTGAGACCTGGCAGGTAACCTGTGGCTAATTCACTGTGCGTAATTCTTGGCTCAGATGAGGAGGCTCTCTGGATGTGGGGTACCAAAGTCACTGCATGGAGGAAGAGATGAAAAATAGCTATTGAAAGTAAATATAAACCGCGAGTGATCACAGGGAGATTGGGCAAGGAAAGACGGGTGAGGGCTGGAAGACCCTATGGGAGATGGTGTAATGGGAGGGGGTTACCAGGGAGGAGCAGCGACTTCATACACGCATCCTTGGGTACAGCAGCCCTTTTAGAGTGGGCGCTCAGCCCTGCTGCAGGCCACCCAGGCCCCCACCCAAGCAGGGCAGGGGCCTTTCCTCTGAACTTCATCTCGGGTCCTCTGGGAGCCTAAAGCCTGAAGTGGCAAGAAAGCCATTTTACGTCATCGCGGGTTCCCATGGCAACAGAGGCAGGCCCCCAAGCCAGGTTTTAGACATGGAAAATAGCTTGGGTGGGGGACAGACCTTTTGCATCTGATTCCAGATTCCCTTGCAGGGCGGAAGGGGAGGGGTTCTGTGTGCGATCGCTCACCCTCCTCTGCTCACATTAGAACATTGCTTTCATTCACTGCGTCACAGGGACCTGATGGACGGGAAGGTAGACTGGGTTCATTCGCACAACTCTGTAGGACTGGGAA